GGGGGCCGTCTCGCAGCGCCCGCGCGCCCGGCACCCGGAGCGGCGGCGCCCCTCTTCTTGGGCCCCTCAGCGCGGTCGTCCACACCCCCGACCAGGGCCTCCTGTGCGTCATCCCGGGCCCAGAAAGGCCCCAGGGTGACGAAAACTCTCCCCGGACCCCATACCTGGGTCTGGGGGACGCGAAGAAACCCCACTGGGCTTCCTCCCTTCCGAGACTTGGAGGCGCAGCTCGAAGGTCCACTACCGCCTATCCCCAGGGTCCCTGGAGACCCAGATAAGCTGCACCTGCTCGCTCCCCTCGGACACGCCTACCCAGACCCACAGAACCCCCTTCCCTGGTCTAAATAGTCCTTTCTTTACCCTCTGTTTCATTTTCCAGAACCTCACAACCCCTTTTGAGGCTTCTCAAATACTTGGTTTAGAGAGCCCAGATAAGACCTACCTAAAGTTTCCTCCTCAGTGGACACACTCCCTAACCTTAGGTATCTTCCACCCGGATACCCATTTCCAGACTCTTGAAATTCGAGGAATTCACTTGTGACTATCTGGAACCTTCCAGTCCTTATAATTCCCCAGTATCTTTTTTTGGGGTCCCTTAGAGATCCAGTTAACTTGCTCATGATTCCTTGCCAAACTTGCCCTTTATTCCCATCCCTGAATTTGTTCCTTCCCAGGCAGGCAGCTGTCCACTCCCATCTCTCCTGGGCCCAAGGGTATGTAACTTTCCCCATCACACAGTGGGGTGGTCAGGAAGCTGCTGGAGGAGCCAGGCTGTTCCCTGCAAATCCAGACCCACACTGTGGCCCCAGCTTGGTGGGGGAAAGGGACCTATAAGGTGGAAGATATGGGGACAACTGGTGTGGGGGAGTTGCTGGTGTTTCACCTGCCAGTGTAGCTTGTCTTCTGGCTTGTGTGTTTTTCCGTCTGTCAGTTTAGGACTGTGATAGAGGCTGGCCTTGGGTTTCTAACTGACCCTCCCCCCCCCAGGAAAGGCCACCAGATTGGGGTGGGGGTGGGTATCTGATCAGGTTTTCTCCTCATGAAAATGGGGCTGTAGTGAGTTACAGCCCTTTTCTCAAGGCCTCAGGAGCGGGTGGGAGGCTGCGGGAATGAGAGTAAGTTGTAAATCAAAGGGACTCCAGAGAGGGCCCATCTAAACTGACAGAACTAGCAGCCCGAGAGTAGATCCAACCCCTGTTAATCCAGTTTGATATCTCTTGGAATGATGCAAGTCACTGAGCCTCCCCAGCCTCTCTGTAATTTAATTCTCCCACCACTCGAGTGTGCGTGTGAGAGTGGGTGAGGGGGGCAGCTATTCTCAGTCTCCACTTCCCACTGTTTTCCAGCCAGTCAGTGTGTCTTTTAGATTTGTTTCTGCTAACCAGGTCAGGACCTGTTTTGTGTGTGTGTGTGTTTTCTTTAAATCTATTTATAATTTCTCAGTGCTATTTTGGGTTCTGCTTAAGGGAAGATTCTATCCACCCCAAGGAACGGGTTCCAGGGTGTGTTTCCTCCTCGGCAGGTGTTGAATTGAGATCTTCAGATCCCCAAGTAGCTCTTAGGCGGGAGGGATAAAAGCTATTTTAGGGTAGTCACTGAAGTGGAGCTGTTAATCCTCTGTGGGTCTCTCTAGTTAAGAACACTTAGAGATTAACCCTTTCCTTGCTGCAGGAGGGCTATTTCTCAACAGTTTTTTGAGAGGGTTGGGAGAATTCAAGTGTGGCAGCAGAAGGTGGGAACATGCAACTCAATACAAAGGCAAAGATAATAGCTGCCTTTTGTTGGGTGCTTACAGCAAGCCAAACCCTATGCTGAGCTCTTTGCATACCTGACTAACATAATCCTTACAACAAGCCTGTGAGGTAAGTATTTTTAGCTTTACAGATGAGGAAACAGGCTAATAATGGAGAAAGAACACAGTTTCTGTAGAGATGATGTAACATCATAAAAACTAGTTTCACCAGAAGGCAGCAGGCATCATGGCTCACAACAGAGGACAGACAGACTAGGGAGCGATTTGTCTCCTTTCAGCTTCCAAAGAGGGCCATACAGAGTTTTTGGCAAGCATTTGTATTTGTGGTACAGTCTCAATAATAAAAGAGATGCCTAAAGTGAGAGAACTCTGGCCCAGCATATGGTGCTGTAGGAAGGTAAAGTAAAGAGGGGCTGGTTAGAAGGGATGTCTGAGGGTTAATTGTGAGGGGAAAAGGGGAAGGTTGCATTCTGGGGAGATGTTGGGAAGGGAAGGAAGCTGAGGTCTGAAAAGTAACATTAAAGGGGAGGGGAAAAAAGAAGTACTACTCAGGCCATGTAGAAAAGAGGCAGACACAAATTGGATGTCATAGATGACACTGCATGTATTCACACATTTTATATGTCAGATGCTTTCAAGAGTATTATTTCCCTTAATCCTCCATGAGAATATTATAGTTAAGGACAGTAAATCTCTACTTTTTATTTTATTTTTGTAACCATTTATTTCAGCCAGACTGAGGACATTGTCGGGAAGCAAAATCTCAAATGCTTCCAATAAATCTCTGTCTTAGAAATTGAGGAAACTGAGGTTCAGAGAAACAAAATCACCTGTTCATAGTTTCACAGCCAGTAAGTGGCAACTCTTTTGATAGCAAGTCCAAGGTTCTTTTCACCCTACCTCCCTCTTCAGATCAGGCGCCAGAAGGAATCTTAGGATGAAAATATACTGAGTTATAACAGTAACTGGGAGGGATTGATTGTGTTTGTTTTATGGGAACAGGTTCTGTCAGCTTCTCTGTAGTCAAGGTTAGCATGTGAGACCAGAAGAGCAGCTTTGAAAGAGAAGCAGAATTCTTTGACAGTTTTGCTGAGGAAGAAGTCTGAAGGAATAGGCCTGATGATGTGAGAAAAACCCAGGAATCTTTCTGGATGAGAGGAATTTGCAGACAAAGGACAGAGGGAAAGAGACTAGATTTCCAAAAGGGTTCCTAAGGTAACACGAGCAGCTTTGGTTATCCAGCAGCCTCCCAGTGACTATAGGTAAAGACTCCGCTGTGCCTTTTTAAAAGCGTAGGGGGAATAGGATCAGGGTGTTGGCTGTTTTCTTTTTAAAGCCATAGCCCCATTAAATGCAGATCAAGGCAAGCACATGGCTGCTGCCTTCCTCCTTTGGTTCTGAGTACAACCTCCTGAGCTCTGAGCCACCACCAACCTGTTTCCTAGAAGCCCATTACTCACTCTTTCAGTAGCAGCATACTAAACTGCTGTGTCTTGTTTGTGCTTGTTCAGGAGAACAGATGAGGTGGACGTGTGGGAGGTGGGGGATGTACTGTTCTCTTTCTGAGTTTGTGTGGAATTTCCAGGGCCAGGCTCCCCTCTCACATCAGCCAGAGTGATGCAGCTTGCTTCCCTCTGGCTGCCATTCCCAACTTTCCAGAGGCTGAGGTGCATGATTTCAGATATCAAAAGGGAATAAAATTTGACTTTGAAGGTAGGGGAAATCCCCTCCAAACTAGACATTCAAACTCATGCACCAGTTCCAAGGTGCATAGTAATCACTGGTATTATAAACAGGTAATTCTACCCTTGTGAAGAAGGAGGATACTTAAACAATGAAAGCCAGACGTCAGAGGGCTTTGAGGTTTATAGTGAAGCAGGTAAATATGCCTAGACTCGAAGGCTCAAGTGGGACTAGTTTTTAGTGCTACCTACGCCTCACCAGCACATGACTCATGCAAAATGCAGCCACCTTTGTGCAGATCTTTCTAGGCAAATCTCCACTCCTGATGGGGAAATGTTTATCATATTACATTGCGATGTTTCTTCAACAAGTGGAATGGTTCCTGAACAGGTCATAGCTCATGTTAAAGATGAGCAAAGCTCTGTAGGGCACGAACCCGCTGATCCCATCATCTTGGTCAAGGCCAGTCTATTGGATGAATGGTCACTGTAAGCAGCAGGTGCTAATGAGCTGAGCAAGCATTCTGTGGCTCACAGCTAGGTTGTATGGTCGGAGACCTCTCCAGATTCTCATGGACAATCTCGATACCCTCCTTGCTCCCTTCATGTAAAAAAGTTTCATGACCATATTTTGGCATGACTTCTTCAAACGAAATCCCTGTTGTAGCAAGTTGCATTGCAGTTGGTAATCTCTGATGAGCCTGTGAATGTGAATGTAGGTCTGTTTTCCCCCCTTTTGAGAGTCAGTTTGGTAACTCCTATCCTTTCCTTAGGAGTTGGTGTCAGGAAAGAAGTAGTGTCACCTTGCTCCAGCCTCCCCGCTACCCACTTCCTGCCCCTTCTACTCAACAAAAGAAAGGATCAGACTTGAAGATAATGGCTCCACACTTTGGAAGTGCTGTAAACCCAGTTTAAACAGAACTTCCTGAGCATAAGTTAAGCCTATGAGAATCAACTTATATTCAACAACTAGTTTACTCATCTAAAAGAAAGTTGAGGGTGCTTTTCAAATGCTAGGTGTATGTAGATGAAAGAGATATGATCTGAGCTCTTAAAGAATCAGAGTTTAGTGGAGGAGACTAAGTTTTAATGCAAGTCTGTTGTTACCTGCTCGTAATGGATAAATACATGTGTACTATGAGGGTCTGGAGGAGGGGTCACTCAGCAGCTTGGGGTATTGGACAGACTTGGCTAAAGAAGCATGGTCTGGCCTCGAGACAAAAAGACTCAGAGAGGTGGTGGAGAGCAGGATGGGACCAGTACTGGTTTAGGGGAAATGCTGAGTGTGCTGTTGCCGCCTCAGATAGAACCTCTTGATGTTGATGTGCTGCTAAGAAACACATCTGGCACAGAGGCTGACTTTTCAGGGTGTAAATTTCCTAAATAAAGGCTTTTCCTTCTTTCTCCTCTGTTGCCTTTTGGGCATTTTATTACTCCTTAGCACCTCTATGAGGAGGAGGATTGTGGAGGAAAGTAGTGGGTGAAGGGAAGTTAGGGTAAAGAGGAGGTGGAGATACTGATATTTCTAAGTTTAGTGGAAAGGATGAAAAAGAGAAATTAGAAGAGAAAGTTTGGAGTTTAGAGCTTTTCCCCCCTCAGATTATCTTGTTTCCAATAGTGTAGGTGGTACTAGTAATAATAGTTACCACTAAGCATTTATTAGGTGCCCAGCCTTCTGCTGAATGTTGTATATTCATTATCTCATTTAATCCTCAGGACATTCTTATGATTTAGGAGATTATTAAGATTATTTTGTAAATGAGGAAACAGTTCAGGGAAGTAATTGGAAGGTCTGGGATTGGAACAGGGCTCTGTTTGCCTCCAGAGCCTATATTTTCATGGTATGAGGCTCGCTAACACCAGGTGTTCTGATATTTCAGGTGAAGAGATTGTTTTCTGAAGGCTGCGTTGGAGGCTGTGACAGAGCAGAGCCCGTGTGGAGCCGATGGGAAGGCTTTCTGAGTAACATGGCCCTTCGCCATTAGCCTTGCCATGACCACATTTTTCACCAGCGTCCCCCCCTGGATTCAAGATGCAAAGCAGGAGGAGGAAGTGGGCTGGAAACTAGTTCCCAGGCCTCGGGGCCGAGAGGCGGAGAGTCAAGTGAAGTGCCAATGTGAAATCTCGGGGACACCCTTCTCAAATGGGGAGAAGCTGAGGCCTCACAGCCTCCCCCATCCAGAGCAGAGACCATATAGCTGCCCTCAGCTGCACTGTGGCAAGGCTTTTGCCTCCAAGTATAAGCTGTATAGGTAGGTGACACTCCCATGCCTCTTCCTGTCTTGAGGTTCCCAAAGGACAAAGCCAGAGAGATTCCACTGAGTGTGGCAGAAGAATAGAGGTTAGTTTGTCCCATAAGTGTGCCCTGAGTGTCAACCATTTGGAGTCACTCACTAAAAAATAATGGTGGTGGGGTTTTTTGTTGTTGGTTTTTTAAAATATGTTTTTATTGATTTCAGAGAGAGGAAGGGAGAGGGAGATAGAAACATCAATGATGAGAGAAAGTCATTGATTGGCTGCCTCCTACACGCCCCCTACTGGGGATCGAGCCCAAAACCTGGGCATATACCCTGACCAGGAATTAAACTATGACCTTCTGGTTCATGGGTAGATGTTCAACCACTGAGCCACGCTGGCTGGACATGGTGGTGTTTTTTATTCAAACACGAATATAATGGATACAGTATCATACAGCCATGAACAAACTAGATTGAATATTTTTTTCTGTACTATTTCCCCCACTCCTGTAAGGTAATGGAGAAAGTCTTGGTCAAAAATTAGGAATCCATCTTAGAACTTTAGAAGGAAAAGAAGACAGTGTGGTCTCATCTATAAATTTTAAAGTGGAGGCTCAGAGTGGGGAAGTGAGTTAGCCAGGTCACGTAGCTTTTTAGGTATTACAGTGCCTCTTATACTGGCCTGTCACTCAGATGATTACTTCCGTGTCTGTAGAGTCCCTGGTGTCCTCTGGGTCAGTGGCTTTCCTGAAACTTGCAAGCCAAGAACCCTTGCTGAAGTGAAATTGAATGTGAACACCCTGGTACAAAGCAGAGCAGCTTTGAACGGAGAGCCAGCTTTTTATTTTAAGCAGTTTTATTTTATCTGCCTTTTCTACTAGAGGAGGAGCATGAGCATTCCCTGTACAAGTGAGAGACTGTCTGATAAAAATAGTCTTCTATCCATCTGTCAAACTGATTTTTTAAACTCCTGCTACATACCAGGCACAGATAGGTGCCCTCCTTGAGTGCTGGCCCTCCTTGAGTTTATTGTCTTAATAGTGTAACAGACAACAAACAAGTAAATATATGAACAAGATGACCACAGAAAGCCTCAGTTCCTTCTCTGGAAAACAGTTGATAGGAAGGAACTAAAATAGGTAACAGAGTAGTATGTGACCAGAATTGCCCTCATGACAGTTCTGTGGTCCTCAAGAATGCTTTGATTCTGTGTGCTCCTGTGTCTTAGGTGGACTGCAGTTGGGGCTGTCCTCTTAGACCATCTTTGGGGTTTTTTTTGAGAATTTTTTGTGTTTGTTTGAGTCCAGCTGATAGTATATGCTGGGGAGCATGTTCTCAGATGCTCCCGTTAGACCATGTTAGTGACAGTTTAGGTGACAATGGGAGGGTGTAAGAAGGGTCCTAGTCCAGGAGGCAGGAGCCCTGACTCTACCCATAATCATTGTGGGATCTTAGGTGAGTTACTGAACCTCTCTGAGCTTCAGTTTCTTCAACTGCAAAATGAAGGAAGTAGACTGTGGATCACTCAGCGCTTCCTCCTCATATATTGTCATGTCAGTTATGTCATAGGAGGTCAATAATAACTGTCATAGGCGTGAGTGTGAGAGTAGCTTGAGAGTAAGGGGGATGTTTGATGCTCTTCAGGTAGAAAGCATCACTGGGTGCTATACAAGAGACAGTGGTGGCATACCTAAGTGAACCCTATTCTCAAGAAGTTCTGTGCCTAAATTTAGCCTCTGCCACTTACTGTCTGGTGGGTGGGACTGCTCTATGCTTCAGCCTCTTATGGAGAACAAGGTAATGACTCAACTCACACAGGGTCTGGCAAATGGTGGGTCCTCAAAGTCTTGCTGAGTTGATTCTGAATGTATTGTGGAGCTCTGGGTTGTAATTCCTAGACTCTGAGGTGCTTTCCAGCCAGATGGGAGCAGGTAAATCAAGGAACACTGAGGTGCCATACTGTGAAAACATTTTTTAAATGTTGCTGGTTTACATGGCAAACAATTTAAATGGTACGAATGGGCATGCAGTGAAAAATGAATTGTCTTCACACTTGAAGTCACTATTTTCCTCCCCAGAGGCACCCGGGGAGGTGGGAGGAGGGTCAGTTTCTTTATGTGTCCTTGCTGAGACATTCAAACATGTATTCCCTTTTTATTTGCACAAGGGATTATATTATATATATTATATTGAACTTCCTTTTTTGACTCAGCCCCAGATCAGGAAGTTTAGACATATTTCATTTTCCCTTTATTGTGTCACTTAAAATTTTTAAAATTTAATTTCTTAAAAAGAAAATATATTCACATAATTCAAAAGGTACTATAAGGTACAATGAAAATTCTCCATCACACCCATAAGCTGCATATTTCTTCTCCCCAAAGGCAACCAAAGTTGTCAGTTTCTTTTATATCTTTCCAGAAATATTTTAAGTATATGCAAGCATACTTACATATATTTTCCTCCTTTTATATGCATAGCGCCAGTCTATATGCACTCTTCTGTCTCATTGCTTTTTTCCCACTTACTGCATTTTAGGAGCTTGTTCCCTGTGGGTACTTAGAAAGCTGCCTTATTTTTATTTTTTTATACTTATTTATTTTTAATATGTCTTTATTGATTTCAGAGAGAGGGAGGGAGAGGGAGAGAGAGAAACATCAATGATGAGAGAAAATCATTGATTGGTTGCCTCCTGCATGCCCCCTCCTGGAGATCGAGCCCGCAACCCGGGCATATGCCTGGACCGGGAATCAAACCACGATCTCCTGGATCATAGGTCGATGCTCAACCACTTAGCTATGCCGGCTGGGCGACAGCTGCCTTATTTTTAAAAGTTGAGTCATTTTATGAATTTATCATAATTTATTTAACCAGTTCCCTATTGATGAACATTTAGACTATTCCTGATGTTTTGCTACTATACACAGTGCTGCAAAGAAAACAGTACATACAGGATGGAGCAGAAGTAGGTTTATAGTGTAAGTACGTGAAACAGTTTATTCTTGTATTATTAATTATTGCATTATTTTCCATATGGACAACTGTAAACCTACTTTTGTCCCACCCTATATATGGTTCTGCAGGTAGGCAAGGATATCTAGAATATAGTTGGCATTCCAGCCATTCCATTGTATGGCCCTACCATAATTTTTCTATCTAGTTCCCTGATGATGGGCACCTCAGTTGTCTGGCTAGCCCTTGTGATCTCATCTTTGTCCTCCTCCATCCCTACCCCAGGCACATGGCCACCCACTCAGCCCAAAAACCACACCAGTGCATGTACTGTGATAAGATGTTTCACCGCAAGGACCATCTTCGGAACCACCTGCAGACCCATGACCCCAACAAAGAGGCTCTCCACTGTTCCGAGTGTGGTAAGAATTACAATACGAAGCTGGGCTACCGGCGCCATCTGGCCATGCATGCCGCTAGCAGCGGTGACCTCAGCTGTAAGGTGTGCCTGCAGGCCTTTGAGAGTACCCAGGCCCTGCTAGAGCACCTGAAGGCCCACTCACGCCGGGTAGCAGGGGGTGCCAAGGAGAAGAAGCACCCCTGTGACCACTGTGACCGGCGGTTCTATACTCGTAAGGATGTGCGGCGGCACCTGGTGGTGCACACAGGCCGGAAAGACTTCCTGTGCCAGTACTGTGCCCAGCGGTTTGGCCGCAAGGACCACCTGACACGGCATGTCAAGAAGAGCCACTCGCAGGAGTTGCTCAAGATTAAGACAGAGCCAGTGGACATGTTAGGCCTACTCAGCTGCAGCTCCACAGTCAGTGTGAAGGAAGAGCTGAGCCCTGTGCTGTGCATGGCCTCTCGGGACATGATGGGGGCCAAGGCCTTCCCTAGTATGTTACCCATGGGCATGTATGGCGCCCACATCCCTACCATGCCCAGTGCGGGCATGCCACACTCCCTGGTGCACAACACACTGCCCATGGGTATGAGCTACCCTCTGGAATCCTCGCCTATCTCTTCTCCAGCTCAGCTTCCTCCAAAATACCAGCTTGGATCTACCTCATACTTGCCCGACAAATTGCCCAAAGTGGAGGTGGATAGTTTTCTGGCGGAGCTTCCTGGAAGCCTGTCTCTCTCATCCGCTGAACCCCAGCCCGCCTCACCTCAGCCGGCGGCAGCTGCGGCCCTCCTAGATGAAGCACTGCTCACCAAGAGCCCCGCCAACCTCTCTGAGGCCCTCTGCGCTGCTAATGTGGACTTCTCCCACTTACTGGGCTTTCTTCCACTCAATCTGCCCTCGTGTAACCCGCCTGGGGCCACAGGAGGCCTAGTCATGGGCTATTCCCAGGCTGAGGCACAACCCCTGCTCACCACATTGCAAGCTCAGCCTCAAGATTCCCCGGGAGCTGGGGGACCTCTGAACTTTGGGCCTCTGCACTCCTTGCCTCCTGTCTTCACCTCTGGCCTGAGCACCACCACCCTGCCTCGTTTCCACCAGGCATTCCAGTAGCCCCCAAGGAGGCCCTCAGCTCAGTCTTGGATTCTGTCAGAGCGCTTCAGTACCCATCCCCTCTGCATCCCCTATAAAGGCAGCTGAGCTTTCAGAGCTGGATTCAAACAGAAAAAAAATCCAGTATCTGTATGGAGCACTTGGTTTGGGGGCTCAGGCTCCAGGATCAGTTCTAGGAAGAGCCTTGAGCCCCAACCCCATGAAAAGATCGCATAATATAGGACTTCAGGTATTTTTATTTTTATTTTTTTGATCTGAATCGGGAGCCACACTTAGTCCTCTCTTTCTCCAAAATGTCAGAACCTCCTTCTCTTTGGAGAAGGGGGAGACCTGTTGGAGACACAGAGGGTTTCACTTTGGATGACCTCGAGAAAAATAGCCGAAGAAGCCCGCCTTCTGGTCCCATCCTGCAGACCCCACAGCAGTTGGTCAGGCCCTGATGCATAGGGTCACTTGGCTCTATCACCTGCTTCCAACCAACAGGCAGGAGAGAGGGCCTCTATTCCTCACTACTCCCATCCCTCCTGTACCAGCACCTCCATTTTCAGTCAGTGTTGTCCAGCAACGGTACTGTTTACATAATCGCTTCAGACACACCATTTCACCTCCCTTGCCGAGCTGTTAGCCTTAGAATGATTGCAGTGAACATTGTTTACACACCGTGAATTCATTCCCACCAGTCCATTCCAGTTGGCACCAGCTGGAACCTTTCGGTACCTGGTGTTAACCGGAGCCCTGTTTACAAGGCGGAGTCGGGTCTCGCTGACTTCTCTTCACTTGAGGTCATATTTTTCCCCTGTGGGGAAATAAACTGACTTTGGACTGCTTCATTCTCGCCATTTTCCATCACTGTGTCTGTTCCTGCCTTCCTCAGCAGTGTCTGCAGGAGACAGGCAAGAAGATTGGAGCAGTTTTCTCACAGGTCTGCAGTTCTGTTTTTCTCCAAGTATACATCATGACCCCCCTCATTCCCCTTTTGAACTGGGGAGGGGAAGAAATGAAAGGCATACCCACTTCCATCACCTTCCCATTCCCTATACCCCACACTGAACATCATGAGCTTTTATCATGAGTCTTAGAAGGAGGGGCTTGGGTTCTAGGCTGGTGTGAATTGCAAAGGAGAGGGTGTGAACTCCTCAGTTGTCTCTCTCCTACCTGTCCCTTTTCCAGGAAGTTGTGGAATTGTAGCAAGAAGAGTTTTCAGAAAGTTGGGACTGGGCAGGTAGTTGAGTCCTAATCTATGGGTGCATCATTGCCTCCCACACCAAACTTTTCTTAACGACAGTGTCACTCTTCTCTCTTCCACTTTGCAGTTTCCTTGGACTCAGGGCCACTGTACATAGGCTTTTCTGCTTTCCATCAAAGAACTTCCACCTCCCTCTTGTGGCCCCCCTCAGTTTTGCCCCCAGTACTCAGCAAGGTTACGTGCAACAAATGATTAGTTCTGACTTGTGGGGCTCTGCCATGGACAGCACAGCCCCTGCCCAGTTGAACCCCATCCCTGCTTCATCTCAGTTCTGCATGGGTACTCTTCCCACTCATGGAAGGGAGGTAGCTCAGGGACCACCAATGTGGGACCCTCTTGAGATACCTCCACTCTGATTCAGAAACACACTTCTACCTCTTTACTGTTAACTCCTCAGATGCAGCCAGCAGTTTCTGGGCACTTCTCACGGCGGGTGCCTCATGCTGGCTCCTCCACTAGGGTTTCAGGACAGACTACCAAGGAACTGCCTCAGCCTCCTCTCAATCCTCCTCCTCCTCCCCTTTGGTCAGAAACTGAGCAGGTCCAAGACCCAGGCTTCTGTACTTCAGCCCAGGCCAGTACTCTTTGTTTGAGGTGAAAGCCTTAAAATGTAGCTCCCTTGCCCTTGATTGGAAGCAATGTGGAGCAAATAAGCATGTTTTGATTTAGGCACGGTAGCTGGGGATACTTTTAAAAAATAAAACCAGATATAAAAATGTCTGGCAAGGTTAGAATCAGACTAGATGATTTGCTTCTAAAAATTAGTTTCAGTGAGTCCCAGGGACTGATTAAGGTTTATTTTTAAAAGCGTCCACCTTGGTACGCAGCCACCTCCTGCATGCTGTGCATGTTATTGGGACTCGTATTACAGGAAATGGTTATGTGAGGATCCAAGCAGGACTCAGTGCTGCCATTCTCCTTGTCTCTGGTCTTCATCACTAGACCCAGCAACCCTTCACCCTCTCCCCACCCTCCCTGGCACCCTTTGTTTACAGAGGCAAATGGGTCTCTGGCCACAGAATATAGTCTCAGGTTGTTAGAGGAGACCCCTCCTTTCTGCCTGCTTTTTCCAGTCTTCTTCCTTGAATCCTCCCCCATTAGTGATGCTGGGAAACTCATAGGACAGGCAAAGCAACTATTTAAAACCTTGTAATTTGAGCCTTGCCCCTTTTCCCCTCTCCTTTTCCTTCCATCCTGCTCCCTTCCGTCTTCCTTCAGTGCCCTCACCACCCATAAGGAATTTCCCTGTCACTGTGAACTTTGCAGGTGCAGAGGAACATCTGCCTTTACCTTTTTTTTTTTTTTGCCATAGCCACCCAGCTGTTTCTTAAACCTCCCTTTCCATAGTTAAAAAAAAAGAAGAAAAAAAAAGCCTTATTGGCCTGCTTGTTCAAAAGATAAGAATAGCTTTATCCTACACTCGTACCAAACCCACGTCAGTACCCTTACTAAGGCCATGAAAGCCTGAGGGCCATCTACCCAGGACAGGAACCATGGCATGTGGCAGAGACCAAACAGGGACCAGGAAAAGGGTAATGTCCCCTTTCCCCACCATCTCTAACTTCTGTCCGTGATGAGCTGCCCTGAATGGGGGCAGCACCTCCTGCCCTGCACAGTAGCTGGTCACCATTGAGTGTAGTCCTGGGGGCCAGAGGATGACATGCCCAGCTCTGTGAGCACAAAGGATCTGTGCACATCTTAAAGAGGTGAGAGCTAGGGAATGGAGCACCAATGAGTTTTTCCCCCTAGCCTTTTACAAATGGCATATTGTTAATGGAAATCCGGGACGCAGGTGTGATTACTTTTTTGCTCATAGATATTGTCCTAAGTTGAAATTCTCCCACTACCCTAACTTTCCCCTAGTAGCCCTTTAAATCCCCCCTTCCTTCTTTTTGGTAGTTTTTTTCCCATCCCTTTCTCCACCTTCCCTCTTATCTAGGAGCTGTTTGTAAGCACGATTTTTTTTTTAACAGTTTATATTGTACAGGATCAATATTTTGCTTTTAACAAGGATATTTATGTAATAAACTTTGCCTTAGGCAGGTGTTGGCCAGAAAAATCCAGGTTCCTCTGGGACCCAACCCTGGCCTCTCCTGGAGCTCTGAACCTGCTGTGGAAGGAATTGGCTGTGACCTTCACCACTGGAGAGTGGAGTCTGTGGCTAGGGAAAAGGGTGTTCTGGTTCTGACAGGAGAAGGATTCACCATGATAACCTAGTGCCTCTGTGAAGGGGTTTGGAAGAAATATTCCAGTCTGATTTCTTCGGATGTAAGCTGATTTTCTTAGCTGATTCTCCCCATATGCACATCTCCACCTCTGAATATTTGGCACTAGAACTGCCACACCGCTTCTCCTCATACACCTCCCTCCCTCCCAGTGGTCAAGGCTTTGGAGCCACTCTTTCGTAACGCCAGATTATTTAAAGAGAAAAATACAAGACAAAAACCTTCTAGCACTTTGTAAACACAGTGAATAACCTCTTGGAGTATTTTTGGCTTTATATAAAACAAGGTTTTTAATTGTAAAATATAAGTGCCATTAGAAAATGCACAGGGCATATCTTTGTTAAAGTAGATTTTTCAATGTTTTACAGAATTACATTTTCCAAAAAAAAGTTTTTATAATGAAGTTGTTTATTAAAAACTTCTGAATGATGTGTTTGGAAGTTGTGAACCTATATGATTGGGAAAGGGTTGGAGAGAGCCTGGGGAAGAACTGGAGCCTCCAAACGTCTTTAGCATCCAAGATGAGTGTAGGACAGACAGTAACAACCTACACATTAGCACCTAGAAACTTTGCGCTTTGAAAGAAAAGATCTTAATAGGATGCCTTTGAGGTAAGTGGCATCATACTATCACTTAATCTTGGATGCGAGGTCAGAAAAATCAAATTGACTCAATGAAATTTCATGTAACTGAAAATGCCAGATACAGATTAGTCTTTAGGTTAGAACTGATTCAGCAATTCAAATGGTTGGTCTGAGCATTCTGATTTCTCTTTGGCCTATCTTGTGCAGTTGTGACTTCATCCTCAGGGCCTAAAGTGACTTGTTCCTTTGTGTAGGAGTTGGAATGCTGCTATGATTCCAGACCTGTCATTCCCACACAGTGCTGACCAGGAGGAGAAAGGGAACCTTTACAGGCTCTCAGGAGAGGAGTCTTATTCACAGAAGCCCCAGTAAGCATCTTCTGTCTCATTGGCCTTGTTGGGGTTCTGTGCCATCCCCAGACCAGTCACTATAAGCCAGTGATGACAAGACTGAGACTGGAAAATTGGTTTCTCAAAGGAAATTTGGGGTACTGTTAGAAAGAGGAATGGATACTGGTTGTCCACGGTGCACATCTGGTAAGTGACAGAGCTAGGACCTGACCTTGCCCACACTTGTGCCTATCCGTTAGGTTCAGAAAAACTGTTGAGAAGCTGACATGGTTTGGCCAGATTCTAATAAAGGTAGTTACCACCATCCTGGGCCCCATCCCTTGTGCAAAGATCCATCCAGGGCTCAGACTGAGTTTTTTTTCTGTGATCTGGAGCCAGTGTCCAATAGCCAAGTAGTACAACTCTGGAATCCAGCTCAGGAGTCCATGGGGTATTAACAAGTGTTAATGTGTGTAACAGGTGTTTTGTGTAAAAAAAGGCAGTGGGCTGCCCCTTCATCTCTTTGGCCTTCCATTTACTTGACAAATGTTCACTGTCCACCTCAATGAGTCAGATCTATGGCTAGGGCCCCAAGGAAATCCACCTTGTCCTCTAGGGGGTTTGTGACCTAGGATGGGTCTGGGGGCTCAGACTCTTATCCATTGGGCCAGGGGAGGCTTTAGGGTTTCTGGAGGAGGTGGCAAGAACTTCCAGGCAGAATAGGGACATAGGTGTACTGACCTTCACAGGCCACAAGTTTCTAAGCCAAGACCACAGGAGCACAGATGCATTTGTAGGATCAGGGCTGCAGGGGGTGGTCCATCCAATCTCTTACCTATCCAAGCACGAACAGACCCTGCACTTAAGACTCAGTTCACATTTGTGAAATGCCTGGTACAGAGCCAAGGGGTACCCTATGAGCCTAGGACAAAGTGTCTACCTTTCAGCCTACTAGCCCACAAGGACTCAACTGGTGTGGGGGAAGCCAAGCAGGTGCCCACTTGCTCTCCGGTTGAGACCTCCCCTTGTCCCAGATCCTTTTACTCTGACCTTGCTTCTCACACATATTTTGAGCACCTCCGTGTGCTCGTCAATTACCGTCAACGGCGGCTCCCAGTTTTGAGTCTGGTTGCAAGGGATACCTCTTGGGCCCCTGCATATGCCTGAGTAATTTAGCAGTGCGAAGCTTCAGGTGTCCTACAGCTGCCCCAAAACTGCAGACGACTGGGGGCACCGGAAGACTCCCACCTGCCCGTCGCAGGTGCAGGGAACGGTAATCGCCTAGCGTGCTAGCTGTGATGGAAGGTTCTGTCTGTGGCCGGGGGTTGGGCTTGATCCCCGGTGCCTGCTCCGACCTGCTCCTTGCTAGGTACACGCCCGCCCTTCACCGCCAGGGCCCTACTAATCTGGGGCCAGTTCTGGCTGGCACCCATAGTTGCATCCCCACCAGGAAGCTCCCGGCTCCTCCGCCAGGCCTCGGGGCGCCAGGCCCCCTGGCGACCCTAGCGAATCACATCCGGAATGAGGGGGCGCGGGGGGCGGAGCGCGCCACGGAGGAGGAGAACCCACCTCCCAGCCTCGGGCGGGCGGTGAGGCTGCCAGCCGCCAGCCGCCAGCCTCCCTTCTCGCGGAACCCGCTGTGCTGCCCGCGCGCCCCGAGCCCCTGCCGGCCAGAGGCTTCCGCAGGTGCTGGAGGATAACGGTGCGGGCGTTCTGGAAACCCCGCGCGCGCTGGAGGGAGGCTCGCGCCCTGGCAGCTTGCGCCCAAGAAACCCGGGAACGCGGGCACCCAGACCCCGCAGCCGGCCCCGGGACCTCCACGCCAGTCCCTGGACGCCGAGGAGCGGCCTCCGCAGCTACTGATCGTAGCCCGGAAAACGGCCTCGTGGGGGGTGAGGCCCCAGAAACCTGTGGTGCAGAGGGGTGGGGGCTCCGGCTGGTGCCGGCGGGAAGGCCGAGGAAGTGACGATCGAGGAGGGCGCGATCTTCTTGGAGGAGGCAGATTGGAAGGTGCAAAACCAGCAGGTGGGCGAGGAGATGGAGGTGGCAGAGAACCTGGTCGGGGAGGAGAAGCTGGAGGTGAGAGTGGCGGCGCAGGAAGGACCGGGGCGCGTAAACCTTGATGGCCCAATTGTGGACTCACTGGAGGCCATCCAATGGGAGCTGGAGGCGGTGCGTGCCAGGCCGGCTGGAGCGCAGGTGTGGGCGCATGCACAGGTTGCACCTAGCCCTTTGGAGCTTCCTCTTCCAGAATATTCCTGGTTTCTGAGTCACCCCCCTTCCTGAACCATCCGCAGCTGTCAGCCATGATCAGCCCCAGAGATGAAGACATGCTCTGCTACCTGATGAACTTGGAGGTGAGGGAGCTCAGGCATGCCAGGACAGGCTGCAAGTTCGAGTTCCGCTTTTGGAGCAACCCCTACTTCCAGAACAAGGTGATCATGAAAGAGTATGAATGCAGATCCTCAGGCCGGGTGGTGTCGATCGCAACTCGCATCCGATGGCACCGGGGCTAGGATCCCCCTGCTCTGGTGCACAGGAACCAGGAGACTGTTGGGAGCTTCTTCAGTTGGTTCTCTCAGCACAGCCTCCCGGAGACTGACTGTGTTGTCCAGATTATTAAAGGGGACCTGTGGCCCAACCCCCTGCAATACTACTTGCTGGGGGATAGGCCCCACAGAGCCAGGCGAGGCCTAGCAAGATGGCCCACAGAGCCCCCTCCTAGGCCCTAGGGGTTCCAGCCTGGCTAAGTCCTGCCCTACCTACATATGATTTCCTTCTGCCTCCTATGGGCCTCTGCTTAGGCCAGCAATGGCACTCTGCCATCTGCTTTCTCCTCCATGCACTCTGGCCTCTCTGGACATTCAGTGGATATAGCTCCAAGATTCTGGCTTCACGGCCAAGCTCTTTTGTTTCCATGTGGCCTCCATGCATCACGGAACTCACATGCCACAGTGTCTATCCAAAGCATCCAGTGCCGTAGATGTGTACTGCCATCATCTTCATGATGTATCTTTGATCATGGCCTTCTCACCCATTTCTGAGATGGGCACCCGCAAGTCATCGCTAGGAGGACCAGTGCCTCTTCAAGGTCACAGCATGCTGGGCTTCGTATTTAGGCTGGCCCTGCACATTGGTTGTGGCAAGCTGAGTCTTATCACCTACAATGAAGTGGGCGCATTGTGCTGGCTGGCAACCAGACTTGGACATTCTAGGGCCTCAGAGCTTCAGTATCACAGGCTGGGCTACCCTAGACTGCTGGACTGTTAAGCATCTGGCAGAATGGGCACACAGACAGCAGACAGTTTGTTGGGCATGGGTGAGGTCAAGGACATGAAGCAGTGGGCAACACATTCTTTGTGATCACACTGCTCTTACCCATGTTGTTCCTATCTCGCAGCTCGCTATCTGTGAAGGTCTGTGCTGAACTTTATCAATGTCTGGCCATCACCCTTCTCGTGAGTTTTGCCCAGGTTGCCACCAACCTTTTTGCCTGCTCCCAGGTCTATAAGGACCTCAAGAACTGCCTGTGGACCCAAGTGGGCCACCTGCAAATGCACAAGAGACCCCCCCCAAGTCCCCAGAACTCTGCTATGGTGGCATATCTGGGCATGCTCAAGGCAGGGGCAATGACTGGCTCTCTTCCAGAAGCCTACCTTCTTGAGCCCCAGTCACTGGACTCCCACAGAATCCAGCTCCCCCTGCCTCTACCTGTTTTTAGGCTGCCAGGTTGGGGGTGCTGGGGAAGAGGAATTTCTGGTCATGGGGTCTATACCTGCCAAGAGCTCACATCCTTTTATTTAAAGTGACAGCTCAGAAACAAAATAAGGAACTGAAGCAGCAAGGCTTTTTATAAACAGCTGAGGAGACAGGCTGTCTTGTTTAATTTGCCTCTTTGTCTCCAGAGAGGGAGGGTTGGCTCATAGCTGCTGGTGCTTTGTCCCCACTGCTCCCATGCCCTTCCCTCTTCAGCAAGGTCTAGAATCTTCAAAGGGGAACAGTACAGGGCTGCTGAACAGGGACCAGGAGGTCTGGGCTCCCAGGGGTAGGGATAGTTCATTGTTTTGTTTATGCTGTGTTCTTTTAGACTAACTTTAGCCCAACTCTTTCTTCCACCAGGTTCAATCCCCCTCATGGGATCCTGTAGGTACAAGAGCTTAGGTACTCCCCCCTACCCCACCCCAAGTTCCCCTTCCCAGGCTTTCGTGTTTCCATCTTATTTGGGGGATGACAATAACCAGTCCCCTTCCCATAGAAGGTCATGTCTTCTGCTCCCCAGGACTTGGGGAGGCCTTGACACAAAATATGGGGGGGGGGTGCTCTCAGTAGGGGAGTGCAACAAGCCAAAGCCATCTGGGAAGGCAGCGATACCTGAGAACCTGTGGAGTGGAAGGCAGAGAGTCCCCTGACTATCTTTTTTGATTCACCAATATGTTTTTAAAATTGCAATTATTAACGGAACACTGCAACTTTAAACATTCTCTCGGTCCAGGTAAAAACCTTGTGTTTGTAGAAAGT